CTTTTTTTTCAGTGACTAAATGAATAAGTTTGTTGTTAGACTTTTTTAAGCTGCCTCCTGATTATTTAGGAAAGTAAACCTGTACATTTTGCTTGAAAATCCACTAAATGCTGTAATAAATGAAGGCTCACTGAGAAGTAGAAGGGAGTCGAGAAAAAAGAGCAAGCTGTAGCTGGAAAAGTGTAGGTTGGAAATTAAAGAAAATGAGAATGATTTTGAAGGAAAATGTAAACACATCTGTAAGGATATTAGAACTAGAAAGCACTTGAGAAAATTGTGGTTCATCTGGAGTGTCACTGGGGAAAAAAACACTTAGAGAAGGAAAGGACTTTGCAGCAAAGCTAGACTGTTTATTTGCAACAGTCTTAATCACGAATTCTGTAGAACATTTCCGTAGTCTTAGTATATTCTTCTTAACTTAAAAAAATGAAAACAGAATGAGAATTTGCTGATGATTAAAAATGTAAATTCTAGAATAAAACAGTGAATTAATCTTTATCTTTGTGTTAAATTTCTAGAATTATCTCCCCTGGACTGCCAAAGTAGACAGATTAATGCTCTCTACCAGTTACTGTCCTTAGGGAAAAGAAACGCATGGCAGAGTAAGGTTTCCAAATTGCTTTTTATAAATGTATTTGTATCTTTTGCTATTAGCTAGTGTGGCAGGGGGAGAGGCTTTTACAATAGGACACTAATTAGAGCAACAGGGATCGTGTGGCAGATACACAAAATCATACTTATGCTCCCTTTACTCCCAGGAGATGATATTAAAAGTAGTTTACAGCCCCTCTGAAGAAAGGATGTTTCATGCAGTAACGAAAATTCTCTTCATAACCTCTCAAGCAACGAGCATTTCCATGCTGTTTCCAAACAGAGCAGGCAGACTTAAATTTATCTGACCAAAACACGCTGGGGTTTTTTGTTGGCCTGGCTTTTTGGGGGGGCCACAAGGGAAGGGGCAGACAAGCACTCTGGTACTTGTTCTTGATTTGTTCTTGTCTGGAAAGCAGGCATAATTTACGCGTCTCTTGCATGCTGGATGCATTAATAGGATTTAGTTGAATTGTAAAGGAATACTTTGAAAGTGAAAACTCTGCTTTTACAATAGCCATCGTTCTAGATTTCATTCTTCTTTTGTTTTTGTTGATTCTGTCCACAAAATTCTTTATTGTCTGTTTTGCAAGTAGGTCTTTGTATATGAAAGTTTTTATTATCACCCATTGACTTTGTTACAATGGCAACAGAGCAGTAAAAACTTCCTGCAGCGACTTGGCTAGAGAGTCTGTGGCTTTGAAAGTCCTTGTTAAGTTTTAGAAACAGAGCTGGTAAAATCTACTTTATTTCTTAGATGCTCACCAAAAAATAACAAAAGGTTGAGACTGTTTTACCATCCAAAAAAAACTCTGTCACTTGGTTTTTCAGCATCTGATATGTAACTCATTTTCAGTTTTCTGTTTGGGTGCCTGCGATTAGTTTATTGATCAATATTTAGCAGAGAAAAATTGTGAACTATAACTTCTTCCCCTGTTGCTTTTTTGGAAAGCTCTGGAGACTGTAGATGTTCACATGTTCTACTGAAGGATTGCAAAAGTAGCATTCATTTATAACATTTGAAGTATTATTCATGGAAAAATTATGCAAAGGAAAAAACAGTGAGATCCTTTGGGATATGTGTAAACTTTTCCAAATGTTCTTGCCACAGATCTCTAAACAGCACTCAGCTCGTTCTGATGAAGTTGTCTCACATTTCCTAATGTAAACAAATTTTAATAATGCTTTAATAGTTTTATACACTATTTTTGTACATGTCAGCATAGCCTTGAAGATGATGCAGAGAAATAATGAAAACCAAACTAGCCTTTGTTCATGCCAGCTGACTGGAAAATCCTACTAAGAGTGCTTTGTCTCCATGAAAGGCAAAATAACAGAATAGCAATCATGGTAACAGTATGCACTAGGAGGGAAGCCAGCAGAGTAAAGAGGAGAGTTAGCAGTAGCAGATGACTTCACTTATTGGAAAAAAAGGGGCAAAATAACTCAATCTCAAGTGAATTTAAGTACTGGAATTTTGTTATCGGCAGTATCAGGCATAGCTCCCCCAGCTAGTTGCTCAGCAGTCTGGTATGTCCAGGAATATCACTTGGTCTGCACAGGTTTCATCAGTATCTCGCCATTTTGGCATCCTTTCTTGGCACAGGCTCTTACCCCTTTACAGAAATGAGGTCATCTCCCCTGTGCCCCATAACTCACACTGACATCCTCTGCACCCCAGGCTTCTTACTGAATTGACAGTACCCTACAGCGGAGTTCCTGTCCTATGAGAACTCTGGGTGTTGCAGTTGCCTCTTCATAGACATTTGACAGCAGAACAGATGCAAAGACTTTGTAAAGGTGTTTAAGCTCTGATTCTTTTTAATGCATTACAGGTTGAGATGATAAGCTCAGAGTAGCTACATTAACACTAAAGTTTGAGATTATACTCTTGCTCGTATGTGCACACATGCTTGTAATTTTTAGAAAAATTCTCTTTCAGGTGTCACAGTCTTCATGCTGGGTCCTCAGTTCAGATATAGTTTAAGCGTCTCAGCAGACAATAAACAGTCCTCAATACTTTACTGTTCACCAGTAACATGAAAACATCTGAAAGAGAGTCACTGCAAACTGAGCGTATGGAGAACTCTTCTGTGGAACCAGTTTGTCATAAGGGCTGGAGATTTTAGAATGACAAACAAAAAAAAAAAAAGCTATAAACATTTGTAAAACTTCTGAATTTATGTGTGTATGTGGTTGGTCTCTGCTCAAATTTTAAGACTATGTAATGAAATCTTGTGGTAAAAGACATTAGCAAAATATATGTTCTTAGTAGGAATGCATTAGGTCTGAAAATCTTGCCTGGTGAAATACTGATTCAAAAGTTTTTACCTAAACCAGCCACCTAATTGTGCTCTGATTCATTCTTTCTGTATTCCAACCTGTGCTCAGCCAGAAGAGGCATGGCAGAAGAGGAAAATGAACTCTATTGCCTATGCGGAAAAAGCTTCCAATGTCTTCTTACAGCCCAAACTCAACAAAATTTTAATTGAAAATGCAGCAGAACATTGTACTCAGCCTTTTTCTTCGAATCTTCCTAGGCATATGGTTCTGGTTGAATCTCTGGATAAAGAAATGATTAAAAGTGCATTTTTTTAGAATTGCATTTGACCTTTAAATGTAAGACCTTCTCTGAAGCCACGTATGCCAGAATGACTCATGCTACTAATGTCATGTTTCATAAATTCTCAACAGTGTGATAAACAAATTGCAGCAAAGACAAGCAGTCAAAAGCCCTCCTGTATATTAACTGTATACAGGAAGAAGGTGATAAACAGTGTGATAAACTATTTTCTCTTTTTATTCTCCCACTAAATTGATGATCTGATAAATCATGTTACGGAAGGTTCCTCTAATGAACTCTTGTTTCCTTTCTTCCTCTGTTGCTAGAAGCGGTTTCATCTTTCTTTTTCTTCTGAGGCTCCTTTATTTGTTAATTAAACGGCATGACGAATGGTTTGATCAAATTTACAAAAAGCTGTGTGGATAAGGTTTTTCCTCTTACTACCAGGGAACAAACTTTGTAATTCTTCCTAGTGATAACTCAGCTTGTAGTGACATTCCTGAGTCTATGGGGAAATGAAAATACAAGTAATTGGGACTTGGTTCATGTATCTCACAAAACTTGATGTAAGTTTTGCAGAGTGGATGTGGACAGTAAAGCACTTTGCATCTATTTTTGGGGTTTGGTTTGGTTTGGTTGGGTTTTTTTTTTTTGCCTGTTAGCAGGACAAACTCATTACTCGTCCTCTCCTTCTTGTGTCCCGTGAATGTTCAAGGGAAAAGCAGCTGATGAATAATTTCTGCGTTTGGGGAGGAAGGGAGCTGGAAACATAGCAGAGGCAGAATCATTTCTGGTACATTTAGCTGTCAAATTGTGCCCCAGAATGTTTTTTCTACTGCTATTTATCACTACTTTGAGTCCAGACACTTCTGAACGGATTCTGGTGGTAGCACTGTGTGGTTTTTCACATCATGAAGTTTCTATCTCTGTTGACCTCTTATGAGTGGTTTCAGATTAGAGGCTAGAAGTTGAATAGGCTAAGGTCCCTGGAGCCTCTAAGAAGTGGTCCCTGTAATGTAGGGGGAAGTCTGTTGTGCTGCTACTTGATTTGTATCAAGTCTGGAGAGGTGGGGCAGACAGCCACTTCTCATGACCATCACTCCCACTTCTGTCATCAGTGCTAACGTCACAGTTAAATATTTAAAAATGAAATCTTTTTATTGCGAAGCCAAGAATAGCCTTACATTCACTGTAGATGATGATAGGCCATGTTGTTCTCTGCTGTATTGCAAAGTTCACTGCCAGCCTTTTGCAAACAGCATCAAGGAACTGGAACAAGAACAGCTTGTCCATATTTTCCATGGGGCCTCATAAAATCTGTAAAATGAGAGAGAGAATAATTGCAGTGACACATCCCTGAAGCTTGTAGATGACTGAGAAATAATACATCTGTATGGCCATTAGAAACACGAAAAGCCCCTGCTTTCTCTTACATGCTTAAGCTGTGAGTCAGTATGAGCAAATTGTTTACAGTTGATTGGAGTTGTGAATAAAATTCAGAAAATATGTGTGAAC